AGGGCTGACTCCTGGCATGACAGAACCTAGAGGAAGTCAGTCAGGCTGAGTCAGCAAACTCAGGCAGCAAACACTGCCAACCCTAATCATCTTATGATTCACTGTGAAGGAATGACCACTCCTTGGTGACAACCCAATCCTAAAACATAGTCAAGAGGGAGGACTGCATTGAACAAAAAGGGGATGGGCCAACCATTTCTCAGCTGTTACAAGCTGAGTTTTACTGTCCATAACAACTTTTCAAAACGACACACCAAGTCCTAAGCAGTCAAACGTCAAAGGAGCACAAGGAGGAACTTTGGAGGAAAACTCATCAAGCTGACAGGAAATAAGCATTAGCTGTTAAGTTTGGGTTTTGATTTCAGGTGTTTTGGCTTGAGGTGGGAAGGAGATGGGGGGGGGGTGTCTCCCATTATGGCCCAGGTTAGCTCACTATGTAGCCCAGGCTAGCTCACTATGTAGCCCAGGCTGATATCAAACTTGCAGCAATTATCTTTCTATAAATGCTCCTGTGAGGGATTATAGATATGGCTGCCACAGCTGGCTGAGGTTTTTTATTACGATCGATAGGTAAACATCAAATACTTTCATGTTTCCTCAGGCAAATAAAGGTTAATAAAAACCCTATTGTTTGAGTTCTCATAAGCATTTAAACTAATACATCATGGCTTTAAAATCTGACAAAAATGCAAATACCTTGTGATATATATATATATATATATATATAATTTCAAATATTCAACATCTCAAAAAATGCTAGTGTTATAGACAATAATCAAAAATAACTTATTAGATGTGTATTTTCCCCCAACAAAAATAAATCAAAACAAGATATACAAATGAAGTCCACGTCTAAGAAATTCTTATTTTAGTATGAAATTTTTTCACGTAGAAAATCAGGGGCTAGGAACACCAGGCTCAGTAGGCTAAGCGCTTCCCTGAAAGCAGGAGGACATGGGTGGGATCCTCAAAACACACAGAAAAGAGCCGCACATGTTAGCACACACATCTGATCCCAGCACCTGGGAGGCAGAGACAGGAAGACACATGAGGCTCACTGGTTGGCCTGTGAGCTGCAGGCCAACGACACACCCCGTCTTGAAGGAGGAGTAGACATCACTAAGGATGGCATCCAAGGTTGTCCTCTGAGCTCTACAGACAAGCATGCACACACATCAAAAGGATGATCGATTCCTGAAACTTTCCACAAGACCAAAGACCCTATAATTGATCCATGACAAAGAGGCAAACTCTAACAACACAAAGAGAGGAGCCAAAATACGTTCCTGGCTACTCTGGATTTTCTGAACTCCTTAACAGCATGTACTAAAATAATGTTCTGAAGAAAATGTTAAAAGAAAAAACTATGCTTTACAAATCTAATTAGCAAATCGTCCAACAACGGCAGAGTAATTTTATAACTGTTATCAATTACTTCCTCCTCTTTGGGGAAAACACTAAAACCAAAAAGAACCTGAAATGTAAGGAAATGAGGTGAACCCCACCTTAGAGCTTTGCATTGCGGTGGCCTCCCCAGTCACCTGTCCTCAACCTTATACACCCAGAAAGAAAGTGTTACTGTCTTCTAACACTGAAAGGACACTATTAGAGGAAACACAAATCAGAGAAAGTTGACGTTTTCCTATCGGTACCTCTTCCACAAGCCTGTCCTGCAGAAAGCACATGCGTGTGCCTTAAAAAATTCCAAGGGTGATTTCTAGAGGCCATGAGACAGCTGCTCAATACAATACTGTACAGCAACTTAAAAAGACACAAGGATCATCTGCGTGCACGATCACGGAAACCCTTTCAAGATACACCGTCACGTTAAAAATAAAAAGCAACAGCTAGGATGGTAGCGGAGGGGAAGGAACATCTACCTGCCACGCCTGAGGCTCGGGGTGGCATTCTCAACTCAGCAAAATAAACGAATGACTGAGTAAGACAACTTGAAAGTTGTATAGTATAACTCCAGTTGTTACTAACAACAGTAAATATACACTTTACATAAGGAAAATAATTTTTTGATCTAGAGTTTCAGTATCAGCTGTCATATTTACAAGGAAAAGTTTAACAGAAAAAAATACATGTACTTACATCAGGCTTTTCAAAATATATATTTTTCAAAATATGGCGTATTTTTTTCGACATTATACTTCATTAATGCCTAGTTTTTTATTTTGAATGATATATAGCATACATGATCATGAATATAATCATTTTATGTTAGTGATATAATCAGAAGCAGGTAAAAATCTTATTTATAAAGAGAAGAAAAATCTTTACAATTCATCAAAAATAGCTCAACTTCTCTTTCAGAAGGCAGTGGCATCCTTGCTCTTAGAACTTAACTCAGAAGCCTCTCTGGTGTCTGTTCCAGTAACAGCGTCCCAGAATAAAAGGAAGCTGCAAAGTTAAGCTTCGCAATCCCAGGACGGGGGTGGCCAGAGGTGGAGACAGCAAAACCCCTCAGGACTACTGGTTCAGTAAGATCCTGTCTCAAAAGGTAAAGTGGAGAGATATTGAGAAAAACATCAACATTGACTTCTGGCTTCCAAAACATGTGCACACACATGGAGGGGGGAGGGAGGGAAGGAGGAGGGAGAGAGAGGGAGAGGGGTAGAGAGGGACGGCGGTGGGGGGGGGGAGACTTTTAAATAAAAACAAAAACCCCATTTTACATCCAAAAACTTCATGAATTGTAATGGGAAAAATTAAAAGTATGGCCCATGAGTCAACAATCTTATATTGAAGTCTGAGTCCACTACTCCCAGAAGCTGGGTATGTCCTAAACAAGTCTCTTTGCAGCCCTGAACGTCATCTGTCCTCCTCCTGTATGGTCTAAGCACACGGCCTTAATCTGGCACACCTGAAAGCACTTGTCAATCACAGCGCTGTAGAAAGGTTTGTTTCTGTTACTGTTTTATCCAGGAGATCCATAAACAGAATCCTTGGGGTTCTGGTCACTCTTGAGCACTGTTCTCCATATAGGTGGTTCACTAGTGCTTGGAAGTCAGGGAATTGAAGATGAAGTCGCTACAAACTGTGCTTCAAAGCCGGAGTCCAAGGGTCCCCCTTTTGAATAGGCCTGTGAGCTACCACAGACAACTGCACACAGAATGGAGATCGAGTTCCTTAAGCGGAGATCAGAGATGGCCATTCTGTAATATTTTCACCAGATTCTCCTTTTTAAAGTAACCAAGAGGACTGAGGATGTCAGACCATAGTAAAGTGTTTGCCTAGCTAGCGTGCCTGAGGCATTGATTTCAACCCGTGGTACTGAAAGAAAAAAGTAACACAGGCTCAGTTTTACTCCCCAGCATCTTCTATGTAACCCCACCTTGCCACATATCTCCATACATCTGTTTGCTACAGCCATTGTCTATTAGCGTCCTGCTACACAAAGAAGTTTGCAGGAAAAGTTCTGAACTAAACCTGGGAGGTTAAGAACTGTCCAGCGCTGTATTACTCTGACAGAAAAAAAAAACAAAACAAAACAGTACACCCTTGTCATTTCTAGTCTCAAAAGGCCTACATCTAAAGTAGGATGCCCCATAGTGCCTCTTGTTGGAAGCAAGAAAAAACTAGCTGGATAGTCGAGCCTGAATTATTAAACTGCTCTCACTATTCTAAATCCACGTCAGCAATGCCTAGTCCTCTTGCCCTTCTTCCCAGATAATTTAATCATATCCCTATAAGACAAATGATAAGTGGGACCACAGTATAAAATTGTTAGCAGTGCCATGAGAAAGAATTCATTGGTGCTCAAAAAGATCAGTCTTTAAGTATCTGAAAAGTTAAGCCAACCTGTCGGCTATATTGGACTGAACCTCTCACTCAGTTTCTGTCCCAAGAAGACCACTGACGTTTCCCAGATGGGGACACTGGCTGGGGTCCATAGGCTCCAGATAGCTTCAGAGGTATCCTATCTAGTGCCAGGTGTACAACTGAACTGCAGGTCAGGCATGTACATTAAGGAGGGGATATTTTTCCCCCTTGTTAATCGACAGGATAAAGGTGATTAAGCAGGAATTATTTTCCAATGGCCTATATAATTTCACCAGAGTTGCTATGGCTATTAGCTGAAAGCAGCTGACTTCTTAATGAGATGAACTTGACAGCAGGACCCTCCCAGAGCAGCCAACAGAGTAATTGGTCCAATGTAAAGGAAGCGCAATTGGTCTGCCGTATTTCCCACCCTTCCTCCTCCTGAGAGCTGTTTTTCTTCAGTTTGGGGTTCTTTCCCTCCAGGAGAGGGTGGTATTCCCTGCACCTGGATGGCTAGGGCTGCAGCACCTGTGGAATGGTTGCCAGCTGATCAGTCAAGCACAGGAGGCTAAAGCCAACCTAGACTTAATTCTCCAGACCCACACACGTGGTTCCCAAAGTTCCAAGCAAACATAGCAGCTGTCGCCACCAATACCTCATCTACCCAAGCTTGAAATAAAACAATAGCTAGTCTACTACCTCATAGGAGTGTTATTAACAAGAGAGCTTTGTTGAAGCCAGGGAACCCACACAATCACTGAGAACCACAGCTCGAGTCCAGTTTCACCAGAGAATTTATGAAATTAAGCAACAGTCACCCAACAGTAAATGGTTCACACCAGGAAAGCGCTGCAAGCACCGCCTCCGATTTCGTGAACGCCAGGAGGTTTGGCGAGGAAGACAGATCCAGATCTCATCGCCTTTGCCAGTTACTCCTGGGAGACCCAGGCACTGCGGCCCGAGGGAGTGAGAAAAACCTGATGACATCTTCCTCCGTCAAAACAAGCTGGCCCTCTCTGCCCAGGTCAGTCATGAGTTACGTTGCGTGCAAGAGGCAGCGTCCCAAGCAGTAACAGGGCTTTGAGCTGGGAAGGTCCCAGCCTTCCTGCCCCCCCCCCCAAAAAAAAAACCTGCTCCTGTCGCCCAGCAGGATGCAGGAAGGAGGCTCTCAGGACGCCTTTCCAACATCCTAAAATAAAATAAAAGCAATATTTCAAGCGCAGATCTCTTACCTATGGGCGGCCACGAATCCTCCCTCCACGCCGTGTCCCCTCGACAGTCAGAAAGTTTGTGCGGAGATCCCGGGGACAACCGAGCTGCCAGGGCTCAGGGCACTAACCGCGGGGGCAGAGTCGGCTTCAACCGGGCCCAACACCCAACTCCGGACGCCCGGGCAGTTGCCCTCAGGCGTCTGGACGCGGTGACCTCCAGTCCTGGCTTCCACTCAGCCTGGGGACCGGGGGACAAATCACCAGGCGAGAGAAGGTCAAGGCACAACTTTTCTCCGGCGCGTCAGCCCTTGGCGAAGCCGGCCAGGTCTCGGGCTCGATCCCGCCCCACAACCCGCACCCTCCGAGGAGCCTGGGCGGGGCGCGCTGGCAGGGGCCGAGCACAACCTGCCCGGCGACTCCGGGGAGCAGCAGCAGGCCCCGCCCCCAAGGCCTCTACCGCTCTGTCACGCCCCCAGCAGGCCACGCCCCCTCAGTCCCGCCCCGCCCCTGCCAGGTGCTCCCGGGACTCGGGTTGCGGGGCCCACGGTGCGCACGGGTTTCCTAGGTGAAGGAGGCGGAGCCGCCGAGAGAAAGTTTCCACCGAAACTTGAACTGGGACGCAGCGGAGGACACCTCGCCCTTGGCGGCTCGGCTCCCCACCCACGCCACGCCTGACTAGCAGGCAGGCACCCACGTCGGATGTCTAGGGTTTCGTAACGAAAGGAAACCGCAGACCGCGACGCGCGGTCGTCGTGGATTTCCCACTTTCAGAGTGCGGATCCGGGCGCGCCTGCCCCACCCGGATTGCCTTCGTTTGTTCTCCTTTTTCCTTAGATATTTGAACCTTAGCATGACAGTCCCAGGAGAGCTGAGTCGAAAGATGAACATGGTCGCCTGTTAGTCAACTGGAAAACCCGCTGGCATGAGCAGGAAGCCGTTTGGTCCCAGCAAGGGGGCAGGAGTAGCTGGGTTTTTGCAGTTAAGTTTCTTTTTTTTTTTTTTTTTTTTTTTTTGGTTTTTCGAGACAAGGTTTCTCTGTGGTTTTGGAGCCTGTCCTGGAACTAGCAGTTAAGTTTCTTTACGCGTAATTTTAGCCATAGGGACCTGGAGAGTATTGCACAGGTGTGTATCGCTCATTCACTACCAACTGTCCCCATTGCCACCCCACTTCCAGCCAAAGAAAGAAAAAACAAAGAGGACTGTTTAATGTGGACAGTCTTGTGGCAAGGATGCAAGTTGGCAACTCAGAACTCCCCAGAGGAATGGAGAGCAGAAGGGAGGCGGTGGCCCTTTGGCACTGCGTGGTACCTTATGCTCTGCCAGGGCCCAGCCCTCGACCCGGGGCGACCTTTGCCTAAGGACCGGGCGCAGCACGCCACGCCAGCTCTCCCCTTCAGTCCCCACGCCCCTGCGTGCTTGGACTGGCTGGCTAGTCCGGGCTCTGCTTTCTGGACTTTAAATCCCAGAGGAGGAATCTGGATCTTGGTTAGCAGCAACCTGACAATTGCATTGCCCTGTGGTCAGTGTGGCTGAAACTTGAAGTGAGCCTTCCTGCCAGCGGATGGGGCTACACCACAGTCAGCAAAAACGGATGTGGAGGTGTTCCACCGCAGCATCCTCCTGGCGCCTCACCAAATCCCGATTCCGAGGAAGTGTCTTCCTTTGTTCTAAGTGAATGGCATCCGGAGATAACCAAAATCGGATAGATTGGATTTTCAAGATTTCCTTTCACCCATAGCAACTGGATAATGTAAACTTAATGCTCACTCTCCTACCTGTTCGCCACCACCGCCACTGTGCCCAAATCACCAGCTTCTACTTTCTGTCACCTGTGGTTAATAAGTGGCTCCTCGCTGGGCGGTGGGGTCGATGCTGATGCAGGATGTCCTTCTGTATATGTGTTGCTTTTCTGGGTTACTGAATAAAGCTGCTCTGGCCAACAGCTCAGGCATTGTTTCTAACTAACTCTTATATCGTCAACTAACCCATTTCTATTATTTTGTATTTTATCATGAGGTTCGTGGTTTGTTACCTCTTACTTCTTAGGCGGCTAGATGGCATCTCCCTGACTGTGCCTCCTCTCTAGATAGATAGATAGATAGATAGATAGATAGATAGATAGATAGATAGATGTTAGAATTTCCTGCCTGGTTTTACTCTGCTAAGCCATTGGCTGAAAAAGTTTTATTTATCAACCAATAAAAACAATACATATAAAGAAGAACACCCACACCATTATGCCTTTAATTCTAGGACTCTAGAGGCAGAGACAGGCAGATCTTTGAGTTCAAGGCTAGCCTGGTCTACAAAGCAAGTTCCAGGACAGCCAGAGCTACACAGAGAAACTCTGTCTCAAAAACAAAACAAAATAAAAAAAGGAGGAGGAGAAAGAAGAGGCTCTTCAGTATAAAATGAGGAAGGCAAAGAAAGGAGGCATGAGAAGGTGGAGAAGAGGAAGAGGAAGAATATAGAAGAAGCTTGTAAATATAAGCTGAGGAAGGCCAAGGTAGTAGAATAGAAATTAAAAGCAGAGACCAGGATTTTCTGCACAGCAGGTCACAGGCCTGCTCTGCCCTTGGAATGTGTACAGATCATTCCTTTACTCAACGAATAACTATCGGATAATTTTTGCATTCCAAGCACTCTCTGAGGGGTTGGGGAACAAAAGCATTACAGTCTCAGAAATCATGAAGTAAGCAATTTCTCACATGTGGTAGTGTCCATGACGGGGTGCTATGCGGCCACAGGGCCACAACAACAATTTGGTAACCAACTGTGCGCCAAAATAAACCCTTCACTCTTTTTAAGTTGATCTAGCTAGGCATTTTGTTACAGTAATAAAAGACCAAGTAACACAATTAGTACAATGTCAGCCTTTTAAAGTGGATTTCTCCTTTCCCAGTTTTATTCCTGTATACTCTCTTCGGCTGTATTACATATTGTGCTTAAGACACTGAAATTAAACTTCTTTAATGAAGAAGTCAGGCATCATTCCTCACTCTCTGCTTTTACTCCCATTTGTAAATGTGCTTAAAGTTGTATCGTGTGTTTCTAAATTTGTTCTATTTTAAATACTAGAAATCTCGAATTAAATGTAAAAATAGAGAAGTAACATTCCTCCACTAACACACACTTTCATACATTCTTATTCAAAGTGCTCATTGCATTATAGACCTAAACGTCCATAAGAAGAGGTAACAAAGGTCATCGCCTCTGTCTGTGTAAGGCATCTAAAATGTGGCACAGAGAAGCGTGGCCTTGGGTGCCTTGAAATTGAACCAAACGTGACATGAAAACATTATCACCCATTAAATGTACATTTAAATTATCTTCTAGAATTGAGCTCAGTCGCAAATGCTCTATATCCTATTAGAATAGTCATCGTCCTGTCAAGAAATTGCTTTCTGACTCAAGGAAGGTTGCTTTGGAATGACTTTATCTCCTACGGAAACGATCAAGTGGTCATGCTCCCTGTCACCGGTGGTGCAAGGTAGATTTATTCTCAGACTCTTCTTCATCCGCCTGTCCTGTGCTTGAAAGTGATTCCCCATAGCCCAGGCTGTCTATTCAAGTTTTCCCTGCATCGTGACTGCGTATTTCATTTCTAAACACAGTTCAGACTGTATAATAAGCAGTCATTAAACATTTCATTTCCAAGGCAATTTCTAGAAATTTATCAAAAGGAATCGTGGTAAATACACAGGAAATTTTAGGTAAATTGTTATTAGCAGGCTTTGATCATATAAAAACTGTATAAACAACTATCCAATAGGAACTAAGTAAGTTTTGTTCTAAACAAATAGTATGCTCTCAGGTTTATGATGTTTAAGTACATTTAGAATGCAATATAGTTATGTAAGTTGTTCAAAGTGCCTTCCCTCAGGGGCAGGTGGAACCCAGTACATGGTATATTCATAAAGAAATAGGGGACCTTTTGTCAAATTGTATCATTAGCCTTGGGTGTATATGGTCAGAAAAAAACTCTGAAGAGCTCCAAGCTGAAATGTGAACCGCAGTCATCTTGAAAATAGCGGGAGTGCAAGAGATATTTGTTTCCTTCGTTACACTCTTCTTTCTTTCCTCGCCTTCTATAATGAATGTGTATTGCTTTTATAATAAGATAATCAGTTTTATTCTGGTCAAAGTCCCTCTCTCTCTGACTGAACTCTACTATATAGGTCATGCTGCCCTTGAACTCACCTCCTAAGGGCCGGGTTCAAAGGTGTGGGCCACCATGCCTGTCATTAATTTTACTTTTGAAATAAGTTAAAGGAATAACAACACTGAGATATTCCCTCATAACCATCAGTGTTAGTGAGCGTGTAAGACAGTATTGCTCTGCGTAAAACCATGTAGCAGTTCTTCGCAATATTAAAAATAGAGTACTATATGATCCAATAATCTCATTCTGGGTGTGTATCCAAAGGTTTAAAAATAGCGTCTCATAGAGATATAAGTACTCCCAGATCCATAACGCATATTCGTAATTATCAACAGGATAAAGCTAGCAGTTCCAGCATTGCACCTGATCTGCTGGGCCTCTTCCTCTGGGTAGCTTGCTTCCAAACACAGGTCAATGTCAGTAATAAAAGTCCTGCCCACCCACTGCTAGGGCTGTCCCAGCTCCAGATCCCTTTGGGGGATCGACTGAATCCTCTGTGAAGACTCTACCACCAATCTTACTTCCTTTAACCTCCATATGTCTGTATTCCAGGATCTGTTAAGTTCCATCCTGATGTGAATCTCTGTCTTTGAGTTTGTCTTCCCGAAAACCCAGACTACAACATTTATTTGAAAAAAAAAAAATTCCTGGTGTCCTGTATTTTCTTCTTTTCTTGTATATTTGACATTTATATTTAATATATTCAGAGCCTATCTTATATAAGAAGACAAAGGAATCTGCTGTATCTTTCTCCTTATTTCTAATATCAAGTTCTAAATAATTCATTGTTCCTTCACTGATTTGTGGCATCCTGCCTCTAATAACGAAGTCCCGTGGATTCACAGGTCTGTTTAGCTCTGTACTTTGTTCCTTTGCTTAAAAACTTCAATTGCTTTGTTTTGTTGTCTAAAATTACCCTGAAATATTTGCCAGATACAATTCAGGTTCATTCCATTGGTTTCGCTCCAAAAATCTCTCAAATTTTTTATTTGACTTATACTGGATCTGTAAATTAATTTTATAGGATTTAAATATTTTAAATCTAAATCATCCCATCTGTTAGTGTGGTGGTATTTTTGCCTTAATTTTTTGGCTGTTTTTTAATGTCCTTTAATAGAAACACACCTTGGTGGGTGTGGGAGTACTGGAAATGAAACCCTAGGTCCTGGGCCTCCTCTGCCAACACACTAGCCCTGAGCTGGATCACCAACTCCCTACTTCTTAATTCTTTAC